AAGGCATCCCAGCACATAATTTCCAATTACCTCTACATGGCAAAGTTATTCATCTTAAACAAAAATCCAGTGCAGGGCCAGGGAGATGACTCAAGCAAGCTAAAATCCCTACTGCATAAGCCTGATTATCTGAGTTTGTTTCTCAGAACCCATGTAAAAAAGCCAGATGTAGTGGCATATATCTGTAACCTCTGCACTCCTATAACAACAAGATGGGAGGCAGAGAGAAGAATCTTCTGGAAGCTTATGGGCCAGCTAGCCTGCAAGAGACACTACTTCAAAAAGGCAGAAGTCTAGAACCAAATCCCTAAGTTGTCCTGTGAGTTCCACATGAGTGGCATGGCACACGTGAGCCTGAACACACACACGCATGCAAACACACACACATTAACAATAATTAATAATGATGATAATAATTCTAATATAAGTGAAATTCTTTTGTATCAACATAATTATTAAAATACAGTAAATACCCTTTAACAGCCTCTGGAGACCACATGTATCCAGGGTCATCCTCTCACAGTTGCCCCATGTTGTCAGTTCAACAATCAGCAAAGTGCTGGCTTCCGGCTTTGTGCCCTAAAACTAAAGGCTGATTTACCAGGCCCTGCTGAGGCAGAATGAAACCATGAGACAACAGATTATATTCCTTTCTTCCCTTATACAGTTTATTTTAAACTGTATGTGCAATTTTACCAAGCAAAACAGTTGAAAATGAGAGCTAATAATAATTTGGCATCTTAAGTTGTAACTGCTAGCTTGTAGAGTCCAGGTTGCAAAAACAACCCTGACAAAAAATTACTGAATACTAAGATAGTCAAGAGGGTTTTTTTTTTTTTTTTTTCTGCTTGTAAAAATTGCTTTGTGTTACAAGAACTCTAAGAATGGGAACACAGTTGGCCTTGTCCTTTGTCCCATTTCCCACACAAGGGCCCCTAAACAGACCTAAGCACAGACCATATGGCCCATCAGCATAGACCAGGTTACCCCAATGAGGGCTCAGAAGTCTTCCAGGGAAGCATTTACTGGGTGTGACCTTAATTAACTAATTACTTGGGGGAGGGGAGAAAGGAGGGGAAACCTGGGATTCCAATTTAACCTTGATATGTGAAACCTGAGTGTTTGAAATGTTTTACAGATATCAAAACTAAACTTTACACAAGTACCTTGTACAAATACAATTTTATGTTGTGAAATCTTTCATAAACAGAAGTCTGAAGGCAATGTGCATATCATGTTTTTCAGACTGGCCAAACAGTGCGTTTATCACTGTGGACTGCCCTATGCAACATATGCACGGTTCCCACCGAATGACACACATTTCAAAAATAAGTATGATTAATTAGTAAGTGAAATGACTGATGTAAAAAGTTCCTGCAGTGAGATTTCCATGCAGTCATTAGCAGGTAGTGAATATTCTAAAACCCTTTAAAGTCCATTTTAAGAGGTCTAGTTACCCTCATGTTTAAATATTTAAAGCCTGAAACAGGAAAATCCTAAGCAATGTGGAATTGATAGAGTTAATATGACCTGAAGAAGCAGCCCTGGGAGAAATGTGGTCTCCATTTACTGCAATCATAGTGTGATGATTATCAACAGAAGGGTATGGGCCAGGCAGCAGCCACAGTGAACCAGAAAATGTATTTTGAAATTTAGTCGATTAATACAAAGATGGAAGCAACACTTCCCCTCCCCCTGTCCAATTTTTACTTTATTGTTGCACATTAACTTGGGAGTCTCGCCAACAGAGAGTGTTCAGTGAAATTCAGGAAACCCTAGGTAACAATCGCTCCAGCCAGAAGTGTGTTAGAGCAAGAGATAGAAATTACACTTCTCAAAGACCCTAAGTGACTCTTCTAGACCAGTTTTGTACTTTCTCAGTGGGAGGCAACGGGAGGTGTCTGTGCCCCTCCCTCAGTGACTCAAAGATCTGTAAATTGCAGCCTTGCTGGTGGCAAGGGGAGGGGATCCCCTGCTGCTGGGACCTCAGGGTAGGAGATCAGCTGCTGGGGCCGGCTGCTGACCCTATTCTGCCGTCTTCTAGCAAACATTTAGTGCCTCACACCCCAGACCCCAGACCTCAGACCCCAGATCCCAGACCCAAGAACCCGTTTCGTTGGTTGCTGACACCTTCTGGAGCAAGATACTGCCCGGCACCAGTCCACTAAGCCCAAGCCTTGAACTAGGATTCCTTGAAATCAGCACACCCTGTATAAATCTTTTAAATAACAAAATGCTTAAGTTCATCTGGGAGTGGGCAGGAAGCCTCCAAAAACCCGCTTTTCAGATTTGACATGTGCAAAAGTGCAGTCACTGACCTCTTAAGATTCCATGTGCACCTCTCCCACCACAGGAAATGTCGGGCAGATACAGGAAGGGAAGCCGGGACCTGGGTACCTGTGTGGGGGAACCTCTACTCTCCCCCTTTCCACCATGCCCAAGAGCAGCTTCTCTTCTGGTCCCTGAATTCCCAGGTTGCTAACTGGGAAGATAGGTCTGTACTTTTAAAAATCCTGACGTGGGCCTTCAGTAAAAAGCCTTTCTTTTTTAAGGTGGTGAAGATGGAATCTAGGGGTCCCAGAATGGATATACCACTGAGTATATCTCCAACCTTTCACAAAGATCTTTTTGGTTTTGAAAAACTAGGTAGCGTGGTATTGCTCCTATGGGCTCCAGCAATGAACCCCTGTTCTCTGTCCTGTAACCTAGGGTGGCTGGTTGGCCTCCCTGCCTATGTCAATAAACAGCACTGAACTCTCAGACCAGAGGGGTGATGGTGGCAGTGGTGGTGTGTGTTTCTGTGGAGTGAGAGCACTGACTTAAGCAGGCAGAGGCCAGAGGAGGACCTTGGGTGTTTTCCTCTATCCTAGTCTGCCTCATTTCCTTGAAATAGGGTCTTTTACTGAACATGAAACCCACTTTTTAAGCTCCCAGTGCTGAGATTACAGGCTCAGCCTCTCCTCCCACTCCCACTCCCAGTGCTGAGGCTCAGGCCTGCCTGGCCTTTTTAACATGAGTGCTAGGGATTCCAACTCAGGTCCTCATGTTCGAACAGCAAGTGCTCTTAACCAGAGTGTCATCTCCCCAGCCCTTAGACTAGAAAACAGTTTCTCAACATCTGGGTTATAAAACAACCACTTACAGAATCCAGTCACTGGTCAGTCATGTGCACATTCTCTCTTCTGAGCCTTACCCTTCCTTTTTAAAAATATTTTAGTTATTATTTTTATATGTGTGTGTGTATTGCCTGCATGTAGGTAAGTGCACCCGTGTCGTGCAATGCCCATGGAGGACAGAAGAGGCTGTCGGATCCCCTGGGACTGGGGTTATGGACAGTTTTTAGTTGCCATGTGGGTGCTGGGATTCAAACCTCGGTCTTCTGCAAGAAAAGCCAGTGTTCTTAACCACTCACTGAGCCATCTCTCCAGCCTCTGTTGTTCCTTATAATAGGCCTACTTACTAATTTTTACAGTGGAAACTGTTTTCCTTCTTCCTTCCTACCCCTCCCCCGCCCAGTTTTATTTTTTTTCTTTGTGTGTGTGTGTGTGTGTGTGTGTGTGTGTGTATTTGAGATGGGGTCTTTCAGTAGCCCTTGCTAACCTCAAACTCACTGCTGTAGCCCACACTGGCCTGACTTTCTCTGGCAGAGTACCCCTGGTCTCCTTCCCCCTCACTTCTCTGGAACAGGAGCGACCTACCCGCCTGGTGAAGTAGCCTCCAAGGCCTGGGTCATTTCCTACCCCTCTTTTGAAGCAAGGTACACATAGACTGTATGATTCTACTCTGCCCTTCCGTGTCCTGTAGAGAGGCAGAGCCTGCCACCTTTAGTGTGTGTGGTGGAGAGTGGAGGCTGGGGAAGGAGAATGTGGAACTAGCAGAAATAAGACTGAGGCGCACAAGAGATCCAAATGCCCAACTGGACAGATTCTCCATGCAGGGTTATACACTAGACCTCTGGGTTCTATCTAGTTGGGGTCTAAATTTTTTGGAAGTCAACACAGAAAAAAAAAAAAATCTTTGACTAGTTACATGATTCACAATACCCAAAGCTCATCTACACTGACCCACAGCGAAGAGGACAGTTCTTCACAGGACCATTAGAAAAGACAGTTCTGCATAACATATGACCACACAATATTTCATGTCTGGTTACTTCTTGTTGAGATCAAATACCTTGGCAAAAGCAGCTTATGGGAGAAAAGGGTTTATTCTGGCTCACATGGGGAAGTCTAGGCAGCAGGAGTCAGATAGTAATGTACTCAGTCCGGAGGCAGAGGGAAATGATGTGCATGCTTACCCAGTTTTCTCCTTTCTACAGTCTGCGACCCAAACCTAGATAACAGTGTCACCCACTATTAGGGGGCCTCTTCCCACCTCAGTTAACCTAATCAAGATAATCCCTCATAGGCATGCTCAGCGACTTGTCTCCTAGGTGATCCTGGATCCTGTGAAATTGAGAATCAACACAGCATCATAAGCCACAATGAACTAAGCCTCACAGAACCGCTTAATGTGGTTAAGGAGGGCAATCGCTTGTAATTCATGCCTTTCGGTTCCTCATAGTGCTGTTTAATCTAGCTGTGGACTGTAGGCTCTACATGAGCAAAAGGACTGGATTCCAGCATGCCTGTCGGGCAGTCATAAGCATCTGATTCTATGGGGGTGTAAGGCCTTAGTGATGATGCGCCATAGCAAGCCAGAATGTAACTTTCTATTTTGCTAATTCAACAGAGATTCATTAAGGCTTATTAGCAACCAACCTAAAGAAACTTGGAGGAAGGTAGGCATCCTCTTGAGAAAGCGAAGGGACCTAGCAAAGGCACCCTGGTTAGCTGCCAGAGTCCCTGGTTTCAAGTGAGAATCAAGTGTGTTAGACAATGGGCCCGGTTGATGCTGGGCATGAATTAGGAGGCACAAGGTCTCAGCTGGAATAGGCTCACAGGACCAGAGCCTGCATACCTGAGGGTGCTGCAGGGGATGGTGATATACATGATTCCTACCTTGAGTTTCTCTTGCTTTGGAGTTTTCTTTGAAATCTTTTCTTTCACCATAGGTGTTACACTGGAGAGAGCAGGTAGTCTCACAGGTTCAGCTCCAGATGTTGGTGATGTCACACTCTTGGAAAGTCTACCCCTGCGCCATGGGGAAAGAGAACCTTCTCTTCCCTTCGCAGCTTTCATACCCTGGCACACAAAGAGAGCCAACACAGTCCTTCCCATGGCCTTTCTCAGTCTCAGAGTTGGCCCCTTCCTTCCCCTCCCCAGCAGGAACCCAAGACTTGGCAGCTTCATTCCCAGAGGATGTGAGTCTGTGCGTGTTCCTACTGCCAAAGCTTGCCCTAGCTTGCCTTGATGGGCTGCTGGGCTTGATTGTCCCTGCCCCCACCCACCTCCCCAACTCTCCTATCCCAGTCCTGATGTTCTAGTGAAAACATAGACAGATGGATGTTCTCTTTTGGGACACTTGGAAAGATTCAAAAAAAATTTGGTCCTCGTGAAGTGGGTGAGACGGTAGACTGAGGTTTGTATTTAGGTGAAAAGAGGCAGGAATCTGCAGCCCCAGGGCTGGGAGCAGCAGGGAGGCCGGCTCTCTGGCCCAGCACTCTGGCTCCTCCTCCCCTGCCTGCTCTCCACCGTCAGCTCAGCCCCTCCGGCTCACCTGTTTTGTTTCACTTCCAAGCACTTTCTTTTAAATTCACATATAAGAAAGTGAAAAGTATCAGTATGACACATACAGATTCTTGAACCCAGATGCAGAGAGAGAGAGAGAGAGAGAGAGAGAGAGAGAGAGAGAGAGAGAGGAGCACAAACCCTGATGCTTTCGCTCGAGTAACCCTGATGCTTATGCTGGCGTACTTCCTTCTTATTTCTATGTCCTCTTTCTGTTTATTGATCTGTAAAATTCAAGGACCATATCATCTATTATCATTTTTAAAGATTAAATCTTTATAAAACATCTCTGTACTATGGGTATACCGATTATAATGCAAATTAGAAAACAAATTTGTATCTAGAAAAAAGACACTTTAAATACGTGAACAGAAACAGATAAAAGTGCAACTATTTACAGTTGTCAGCATCTATTTATGACTTTTACGTGTAATTGATTATATAGAAATACATGTTGTTTGCTTATGAAGTGATATTTTGGTACATTATAATAATCTTATTATAGTCCTGTTCAAACATTTCTTTACGAACAAGGTAATTAAATAGTCAATTTCAATGATAGAATAAAGTTGTACTTTAAAAGTTAGAATTCTAAGTTTCAGGCATAAAAGAATTACCCAGTTACCTCTCCCACCCAATCAGTTGACCTTAACTCCATGAGGGGGAGGGGCTAAGGACACATAAGCTGAGAATGCCACAAGGCAGGTCTCCCGCCATTTTGTGTTACTGTCCGGAAGCCACAGGATTTATGTTTGGGTGTGGACTTTCCAGCACAGCCATGAATGGAGGGAGGGGCCCATTCTTCTATAAGTAAACCAGCACTTCAAGCTCAGTTAGCAACTCCAATAAACCTGTTAGGATTTTCCAAACACAGGTTTTGAAGAATTCTTGCCTCAGGTTGTCGTAAGGATGGTGGGGGGAGGGAACCAGATGCCTGTGCACCTTCCAGCAGTGAATTTGACATTATGAGAAATGTCAATGATTCTAATTATGATTAAGCTTATTAAAAATTAAAACAGTGATAAGAAATACAGGTAACCATTCATCTCATTAATATCTGAAACCTCTCTCACTTTAAGCATTGATCAGACTCCATAGAAAGATATCTCATAACATCTTCCCATCTGGGAGGACAGCTACTGATGCCCAGGAAGAATTGTTAGTGGTCTCAGTGGATCTGAACTTAAACCTAATATTATACTTATGCCCCCCATAACAGTTTTAAAATGGTTTTCTCAAAAGTCTTCAATATAGCCATTGTCAAATGGAATAGTTTTTCACAGGAATGAAAAAAAATGCCTTAACATTCAAATACCAAGCATTTCATCTTATTATCCAATGTGGAAGACAATACAATCACTTCATAGCTGAAAGCATTTGAAAAAATTCAGCATCCAATTATGACAAAATAAAGCCCCCAGGAAACTAGGGATAAAAGAAAACTCTTAAACTTGACAAATGTTTGCCATAAAAACATAGCCAAAGCATATCTGATTATATTTGACAATTTTGTTTATGTACAAAATCCTAAGGAATCTATAAAACTGGGACTGGAGCGATGGCTCATCAATTCAGAGCACTGGCTGTTCTTGCAGAAGACCTGGGTTCATTCCCAGCATCCACATGGCAGCTAACAACTGTCTATAGCTCCAGTTCCAGGAGATCCAGTGTCCTCTTCTGTCCTCTGCAGGCATTGCATGATACTGGTGCACTTATATACATACAGGCAAACACTCGTGTACATACATAAATAAAATTTAAAAAGGAATCTACAAAATTATTATTATTGTAGCTAATAAATTAATCCATAGTGGCTGCAGGATACAGCATTGATATAAAAATCAAGTGTGTTTTATATACAACTGACAACTGAAAATAAAAATCTAAAATGTTCTATCTACAAGTTCCAAAAATACAAAATACTTAGAAATGAATTTAACAAAATATGTAAGATCTCTGTACTAAAAATAACAAGAAGTTGTTAATGAAAATTAAAGAAGACATAAAGGAATAGAAATATATCCTATGTTTATGGATTAGATGACTTAGTGTAGAATACATTAAAATGCCAAGTTTTTCTAATTGATCTATAGATTTACTACAATCATAATCATACTAACTTTTTTATGAGAACAGAAAAGTTGTTTCTAAAAATAGTATGAGAACACAGAGCATCTACAGTTTTTAAGATAATTTTGGAAGTTAATAAAGTTAGGAGAGTTACTATTCCCTATTTGAAGACTTATTATAAAGTGATAATAAAGATATTTCGCTATTGTAAGGATTGGCATATCATTTTAGAACAGAATAAAGAACCCAAAATATCTTGATTTTTTTGTAAAGTTCCGACAGTGATCAATCCAATGAAGGAAAAAGTCTTTTCAACAAATTTCACCCCATCTCACATCATACAAAAAATGTATTTACTATGAATAATATTCAACAAAAAGCTAAAATCATAAATGTTAAAAAAATATAATGGAGTATCTTCTTGATTTCAGATATGTAAAGGCTTTTAAATACATATAAAATACTATATCCACAAAAGAACTGCACTGATAAATTAGACTTTAAAAAGTTTTGTCAAATACATTTTCAGTTCCCAGCACCCACGTGGCATCTCACAACCACCTATAACTGTAGTTCCAGAGAATCTGATGTTTACCTCTGGCCTCCTTAGGTACCTGCACTCACATGCCCATGCCAAATACACACACACACACACACACACACACACACACACAATTCAAAATAAAATAAAAATATTCTTAAATGAACAGAAAAGGCATAGTTGAGTAGAAATTACTTTGAAAAATATATGAGGAAAGATAGTAGTCCAGGAAACAATTCCTGGGCTGTGTTGTAGCTGCATGCTAGGCTTTTGATAACTACCGAATTTTGCCTAGTTATTCAGTGTCCCTGCACCTTCTCACTGATGTAATGGTCAACTCAGTGGCCTGCTATTTTGAAATAACTGTAAATTCATAAGCAACAGTAATAAATAATTGTGAGACTTTGAGATGTGCTTTACTCAATTTACCCCAAGGGTAACATCTTGCAACACTGTAGTACAATACCACAGTGGGGTGGGGTGGGGGGGGCAGTGACATTGATACAACCCACCAAACTTATTCAGGTTTCCCTATGTGGTGTATGTGTGCTTAGTTCTATGTAATTTGATCCTGTGCACAGGTTTTTGTATCTTCCAATACAGTCAAGATGGGGAACAATTCCATCACCACAGACCCTTTGGTTTAGCTTTTTTATAGCCACCTCCCTGATTGGGCATCTCCCTGCCACCCTTAATTATAGTTTTTACTCCATTTCCAAAATTTTATCTTTTCAAAATACTGTATAAATAGAATAATGCAAAGAATATGTGTGTAACCCTGTTGGACTGGCCTGTCCATTCAGCATAGTTTGACTTTTACAATATGAACGTACTCTGAACAAAAGACTTTTATTTAGCTTTGCAATCAAAAAGTTAATCTTAGCTTGTTTACAGTGTCAACAAGCTCACTGAGCCATGAGCTCCTCTTATAACCTAAATGCAGCTTTAATTCCTCAAGATCCTTCCTTTCCCTGAACTTAGAATAATGTATGTATGGGTGTGTGTATAAGCAGAGCATCAAAAGCGCAGTTGATTCCAACAATGATCTGCAGATTTTTCCATTTGCATTGCAAAAAATCGATGGATTCAATGGATATGTCTGTTTATAGTTCTGCAATTTGTGTTGGTCTGGGTCTAGAAATTCTGGTTTGTTCTTGGCTGAGATGGATGCTGAGCCATTAAGGCTGTTGTTACTTAAGCATCTCTGTCATGTGGCTTCAGATGGTAAATGCCACAATGATTTGCTCAAGGTGTATCCAAATTGTTGCCTGTGTCGCTAGTTTATTCATGTTTATTGCTAACTTGTATTGTGTAGTCTAGGTGCACCACAGTTTAATCGTTCATCTGTTGAAGGATGAGTGGGCAGCTTTCAGCTTTTAATGATCATAAATAAAGTCGATGTCTATTTTTGTGCAAGAATATAAGTATTCATCTTTCTCTATGGGAAATTTATGAATGCAGTTGCTAGACTGGATGATACTTGCATGTTTAGTTTTTAAGAAACAGCCAGACTTTCCCTAGTTATGTAGTTCCTCTGTGTTTTTGACAACATCTACTGTTACTGCTGTTTCTCTTTTTAATCTTTAATGAATTTAATAGGTAGTGGTATCATTGTGGTTTCATTTTGCATTTCCCTCCTGGTTAAGATGGCGTATCTTTTCATGTGCCTCTTCAAGGGACTGTCTGTTCGTGTCTTTTGTCCTTTTTCTTTTTCTTTTTTTCTTTTTCTTCTTTATTTATTTTTATTTTATGTGTATGAGTGTTTTGTCTGCATGTGTGTATCATCAGATCCCCTGGAACTGGATTTACGAATGGCTGTTAGCTATCATGTGGGTGCTGGGAATGGAACCCAGGTCCACACAGTGCTCTTAACAGCTAAGCTGTCTCTCCAGCCCATTTTCTAACTGGATTGAGTTTTGAGAGGTCTTTATATATTCTAAATATTACTCCTGGAGTAGATACATGGTTTGCAGATATTTTCTCTTCCAGATATGCAGTGTGACGTTTCAACTCCTCATGTGTGCATACATGGAGAAAAGCTTTTAATTTCACTGAGATCTGCACTGAGCATTTATTTTCTTACAAAATTTGTGTGTTGATGTAATACCAATACCAGTGTGACATTAGGGGTGGAAACTTTGGGAGTTAATTCAATCTAGATTAGGTCTTGGGAATGGACCCTCACAAGTGGGATCAGTGCCCTTGTAAAAAAGAAGACAGATCTCTCCATGAACACACTCCTCTGAAAGGCTAGGGTACACAGAGTGAGCAGATGGCTCTCTGCACCGGGGAAGTGGGCTCTTACCAGACATCAAATCACCAGGCACCTTCCTAGCCTTAGGACTGTAAGAAGCACAAATCCATTGTGTAAATCTATGATGCTTTGTAGTTACAGTCTGAGCAGCCGAAGATAAGGTCTGATTATCAATCTTTCCTTTTATGGGTTATGCTTTTTCTATTTACATTTATGGACATCTTGCCTAACTCCTGATTCCAAAGATTTTATCTCTTATATATTTAAAAAATATCTACAATTTTATATTTCATGCATGACTTCACGATCCGCTCTTAGTTGTCTCCGTGCATTGAATGGGGTTTACACAGAAGCTCACT